GTAGTCGCTCTGTCTGTGAGTCAGTAGCTGTTTCTTAGCGCTCCAATTACCAGCCAATTTGTCGCACTTGTTTGGTGCCCTTAAAACTGTGTCGAAACAGTGAGCGTGAACCATTTATGTGTGGTTGGTCACGCTATCCTTGCTCTGAGGCAGGTTAAGACTTGTCTACTAGCCCCTCTCCCCCTCCTAGGATGTGATTTGTCTGTGCTGCGCATCGCCTGTGTCATATCTGTATTCCGCATTATCCAAGGCCTTGGGACTGCTGTCTGGTCATCTGTATCCCCCAGCTCCAGCCGTGGGAGTTTAAAATTTAATTACTGGGTTTCAGTATAGCAAGCGACGCAAGGCAAGGACCTCTAACTTCTTATATTACCTCCGCCTAAACTCGCATGTTTAGATCCGTGCTAGGTAACTAAAACAGGACGTATGCATAAAAATGACAGTCTACTTAAAATGGGTGACGGTGCGATAAATTTCAAGAAGGGTACATATTTCCGTGTCTTAACCCTAACATGAAACTGAACTGCAGCCGTAATCGTAACGCTAGTCCTCTCCTAGACCCAACAGTTGACACGATTCCAAACTTTAGTCCTTAACATAATCCTAACGCCAACCTTAAACTTAATCCTCACCTTAATCTAAATTCCCTGGAGCTTGATGCAAGTCACATTCGTTGTGGACGGCTCCTATTCTCGTGTCCTGTTTAGACGGCCATACAAGTCATCCTTACCTACGTTCGCATTAATTAGTGTTATTAACACGTTTTTCGGTTCTGTTATATTTATTTAACGTCGTCACCTTCTTCGGGTCTCAATAGTTACCTCGCTTTTTAGAGAGTACGGTTTGCCGTGTTGGCTGATAGTCCATCGCTCTGATTAATTCCTGCTGGTTTTTTTGCCTATTTACACGCCGTGCGCTTGGAAGGGCCAAGCCCAGCGCTAGACGCTAATCGCCCCCGCCGGCTGCCTAATTCGTACTTGTCTGCCATTCGTGCGCATCCTGGCAACGAAGACACGAGACCTTTTAACACCGCCTGGCGCTAAGGATAGGGGGCGGGAAACTTTCAGTCGAATTCCGTTGGCGTCATTGCCAAATCACAACTGGCCCTCAGGGAAAAAAGACGAGCCCTGTACTGACCAATTGTTACTGCATGTTTATTTTACACACAGACACTTTTTAAGCCATGTCGAATTAGATTTGCCTCGTGGAATCAACTATTTCAAAGGCGGAAGTCACTTTTCCTCCAGTGCTGTGGCGAAATTCACCTCCCCAGAAGAGTGTCAGTATCAGTATCAGTATATTGAGGGATGTGTAGGAAAAATTCCTTTGAGTGCCCTATTTGTACATATGTGCAGTGGCAACAGAAAATTTGTTTCTCAGACTGTTGGCAAGGCCAGTTATCCAGCAGAAAATTTGTTTCTCAGACTGTTGGCAAGGCCAGTTGTCCTGTGTCCATAGGACAACTGGCCTTGCCAACAGTCTGAACACTTTATACAAATAATCACTGGCTTAAAGCATTGGGTTCCACTCCGGCAGGCTCCCTCACAGAATTCACAAAAGGGGTATTGTTTAGTCTATCTCTGCAGCCTTTTCAATACGCGTTATTGAATTCCATGTACTCCTTGTACACTGTTTTTTGTCTGCCTTCAAGCACTAGCAGCGCCCTTGTTTTTTGTTGTTTACACAGAACTCGTCCAACGTCAACAGTCTGCACTACCTGTTGGTGCTCTGGCAGCGACTGGTGGCCAGTATCCCCTATGTGCGTTCGGCCGACCCCTACCTGGTGGACACCTACGCGCCTCAGGTGGCCTGTGCCTTCGTACAGTATCGCCTGGATGAGGTGCCCACCTACGCAGAACAGGCCTTTAC